TCTGAAGGATAACCAAGTAAAGGACTTGCAACAATAATGTAAAAGCCGTATTACGAGCTACAAATAGAACGTAATATAATGAGTGCACATTAATGACTAAGTTTTTAAAATGTTACGATTAATTAGTCGCATTAATTATTTCGCTTCTGATATTCGATTAAAATCGACTAAAATTTGATCGCTTATCCGATCAGAGAGCAGAGATCGTCTTCATTTAATCTTTATTTCGTTTCTTCTCTTCGAATTAAATTCTTGCTATAAAAAAATTACCTTGTCGATTCGAAGTAAACAAAATTGTATTTTTTAGTGTCGAAATAGTATGCGAAATTGTTTAGTATCATACAAAATGTCGCGCATAATAAACTGTATAAATTGTTTCGTAAATAAATTGTATGCATTTTCGTGAATATAATGTGTGAATCAATAAACTTTGACAATCCGAATAAAGGAGGAAAAAGTATCGAGCGCCAGTAGTGCAATCTTTGGGTGTACATTTATATGCATATTAATCATTTAAATTGTGCGTCAATTCGATTTATTTATGTAGACGACTTAAACAAGACGATTAAATTGAAGAGAAAGAAGTGTATATACAGAAATATACACTTTTATATACATTCTTAAATAAATTTTAAAGTTCTTATATTTAAAAAAAATTGTCTTCCAAAATAAAATGATATTTATAAAATTATTATATATATGTTTGTTATTATATATATATATATATATATATATATATATATATGTTTGTCTTGTCTCGAATTTAAGTCAAAATCGAGGTAAGATCTTTAATTCATTATATAAAGTTTCTTTAAAATTAAAACTCTTGATAATTTTAGTCTTTATTATCTTTAGTCTAATATTATCTTATATATTGTTTTAAAAAGTAAATGAATGGCGTAATTATTTCAAATTATATTATAAAATTATATTATAAAAGTTATATTAAATAAAAATTGTTAATAAAATCGAGACAACACAAGACGAGATTTTCATTACAAAGATTCAAACGAGATTTATTTAAGCTTTCGAAAATTTTCAATACTAATATAACATTTTTATATCATTTTATCTTGAGTCTTGTACAACCCCAATTACAGATAAATCGTTATCTCTCCACGCTGGTTGCTTCGTATCGAATAAGTCACGAATTCAAAGGCTGAATGAAGGATTCTATTATCGCATAATAACTCTCAAGATTCGACACACTAGAGAAGAAAAGAGGCGTCTCTATAATAGGATGCAATTTAGACGCGGTCGAAACAGACAACACCACGTCCTACGAAGCGTAAATCATGGACGCGGATACCGGTCCGAGGGGGTTGCGCACGAAGGAAAATGGAGGGTAGAGAGAAGTGCATATCTTAATTACAATATTCCCACGGGCGGAACACACAGGACCCCTGGCCCGCGCTTCGCCGTCACCGCCGACTCTCGCCCCCCTTATACCGCCCCCTCCCCCGTCGCTCCTTAGCCCTTCTCCAGGCAAGCTTGTAGGAATTTAATTAATTTGCCAGTGGCTTGCTCCTTGTCGCCACTCTGAAATATTGTAATCCTTCCCACCCTTTAAAAGCCGAGCCAACCATCGAGTGAGTCGCCTTTGCTTTGGACTTGCAATCTGCTCACGATTATCGCGCTCGCTTGCCCCCTTCGCCATCTCTCCTTTCCACTTTTTCTGTCTCTAATCGGTGCATGCAGCACGAGGAATATCAATCAAGTGATTGGTACCGCAACTTTGTCATCTCCGCCGGAAATGCGGAAACGGATAGATGCAAGCGGAGAAATCCTCGGCTAAACCGAAACTCTCGTCGTGAGTGACCTTTCGGCGAATAATTCGGGCAAGTTTGCGCGAGAGAGAAGTTTTCGAGATTTCACAGAAACCGAAACACTTGAGAAACTTTCTCACCGGAAGAGAGAGAAGAGAGAGAGAGAGATTCTTCGGGAATATGTTGCGCGATCAACGAAGCGAAAACGCTCGACGCGGTCGGGTTTTATAAAAAATCTCTCGATTAACGTGATAGATGTGAAATTACGACGCGCCTTTTACAAATGTCACGCTCAGGACTCGCATACAAAAGATTTGATTTCTCGATTAAATTCTCTTTGTGGAGAGCAATTATATAGTTTTAGATTACATAATAATTTGATAAAGCAAACGAAATTCTACGGGTATTACGTATAGTATGGGAACGGTTCATAATCATTAGATCGTTTGAATGTTCTCTGTTACAACTTTCCGGCGACTATATATGGGCTGGATAGTATATATTTCCGGATGTTTGGGGTTTCTCTAAAGTTCCAAGTTTCACAAAGTGCCGGATTTACCACAACTCCCTGATTCCTGGCAAGTTTTAGGTTTCGCATCCCTTCAATGGCGATAATCAGATAGCGTTAAGAATCATCGCATATTATATACCTCCTACAATATAATATATCGTCCCAATCTTGTTATATATTTAGTTTTGCAACATATCTTTTCATAAAGTTTTCTAATAAATTTTTTTTAAATAAATTAATTTAACAAAATTGATATATTTTTAAATCAAATACTATAATTTATATATACAGGTTTGGTTTAAATTTATATATTCAGTTATTTTTCTAAATAATAAAATTACAAAAAATGTTTCAATAAAAGTTATTTTGTTTAGAAAGATCTATATAATAACTAAAACAAAAATTTTTAATTATTTTATGTTATAAATGTGTTGCTTATAACAATTTTAAATGAATTAATACATCTAATTCGAATAATCTTGAATATATTCTTTATTACAATTTTATAACATATTTTTATTTGAGAAATTCGATAATGAATAAAGTGAAATTTTCAATAATCATTTATAAGATATTGTTACTTGTATTGCTTTTAAGTAAAATAAATAAAGAAATAAAATATCTCTCGTAAAAACTGTCTCTTTCATGGCAACATTTATATTTAAAAAATAATTTAAAATCTTACTAACTTCTACTCAATACATTTTTTATAATTCTATTTATTTTATTTAAAAAAATAATCGCGTGTATGCATTAAAAAAACAAACATACTGTATGTACGTACCTAAATTAATTTAAAAAATAATAATTTTCGAGACATAAAAATTAAAAAGAATTTTGTACTTTAGGTTTACCTTCAACATCCTTCAATAGCACACTAAGAGAATTAATTTTGAACTAAGGGTGACGTCGCAATATATATAAAGACACCCGGACTAATCGATACTGCTTGTTAGTTTTGCCTCTACATCAGTACATATTTACTTGTGTATGACTTCGTGCTTGATATATCCTTCGTATCGCGGTATAGTATTGCTTCACTATATATCTAAATTGCCATGTGCATGTTTAAGCTTCGCCAGATAGCATTGCGCGATATTGGAAATTACATTGACGCGATTCATGTTGATAGAATGTAAACCTAAATTTCTCCCTCCCTCCCTCTCTCTCTTTCTCACTCACATGCAATACTATATATATAATACATTCTATTGAATATAGTATTACACTCTCTGGAACACTCTTGACAAGTTCAATCATTCGAGATTGCATATTAAATTATTCTTATCATACTTATATTTAGATGTAATCACAAAAGATAGAGTTGCACAAGACATGAGAATATTCGTAAAATATTGTACTAGTATTGAAAATTGTCAAAACTTAAATCTTGAATTTATTGTATTAATTGTTTAAATTTGTTAATGTCATTTTTCTTATTTATTAAATAAATTATTTTTTGTAAGTTTGTACAATATAATAATTTTTTTCATCTAAATTTACGAAGATATTTTAACTATTTATAAAAATCAATCTTGATGGTCTCAATCTTGATATTGTTTTGACAACTGTTTAAAAATCTTGCCTTGATCTTGTCTCGAATTTCGAAATAAAACAAGATAAAATCAAGATTAATCTTGATATCTCGTGCAATCCTATACAAAAGGAAAAAAAATTAAGAAACTTATTAATTTTTATTATTATTTTAATCATGAAACTCTCTCTTTGAAATTCCTCTATTGGATTTTTAAACACGCGAGAAAATATGTGCGTTATGCTTACATTTAAAAGTAATCGCAGGGAAGAAAAATTAAGAAACTTGTTAGTTTTTACGAACTTTAATCATGAAAGTGCTGTCTTTAAAATTCCTTTGTTGAACTTTTAATCACGCGAATAAACATGTGCGTCCAACAAGGATTCAGCGAGGATTTTCGTCGAATAATTTAGCATCCACGAATTTCGGACTGGGAAGATTAAGCTAATGTTTGAGTTCGATTAGGATAATCCAACCGTGTTATGGTCGAAAAAAATTGATAGCTTAACTAGACGAAATGCGAACGGGGAACTACCGAGCTTAGGTTTGAGATTAGACGCGGAGGGCGCGAGGCCGACGACATGAAAGATGGATGACGACGGAAAAAGGGCAACTAAGCAGCACGTCTGCCGTTGAAAAGCTGAAAATCCTGATTCGACTGAGCGCGAATGCTCGAGCGAGCTAGTAAAAAGCCCGCGGAACGGCCAGGAAAATCCTTTGGTCGCGCCATTAACGGTGATTTCTCCTAAGCTTCACCGATCCTCTCTTCCCTCGTCGATGTCAACTCCATTTCGACTAATCAAGTCGTCATTCACATCGAGCCGCGATTTTTATCGCCGTTTTATGAAGCTTCATCGCATTTATCAATAAATTCGATTATCTTAACCCATTCAGCCTGAATTTTTTCTGTAATGTAAAAAATTATTTAATTAATTTTTATTGATGCTAAGGGTTTTTAAAACGACGAGATATATATATATATATATTTTTTCCACCGAGAGATCGCAGGGAAACTAATTCTAAAAAATAACTATTTCAAATAATTTTAAAGTTTTGGTGCATAATTGTGCACATAGGGTCTGAATGGGTTAATCTTAATTCTGAAGATCGTCAGTGTTAAAAATTCAAGAGATGATTTCTCATCATCTTTACCAAAAATTTTTATTTCAAGATACATTATTATTATTGTTGTTATTATACAAAAACGTGTATTATTATAAAATTTCAGGTTTTAAAATGATAAACATAGTAATATCTCCTTACGCATTATAATCTGTGGCTAAGAGTGATGCGTAAGGGGATCGTGATATGCATGGACGGGCAAGGAGAGTTTCGAGAGGCATCGTGGAAGGGAAGCCAAGTAGCAGAACCGCCGCTGTCTGATGCAATTATGCATGCGTTTAGCGAACTTTCACGATACCGCCGTTCGCGACGAGAGCCTGCGTGCCGTAAAGGGATCCCGATCTAACTCCCAGGCCCACTCCCAGACTCAGCAGTCCCGGATGCGAGGCCAGGACGTGCGTGGAAGCTGAGTTGAACTGCCTCGAGACGGTCGCCTGCACAATCGTAAAGCAACTTTTAATCCCTCGATGTACTTCGCACGATTCTCATCATCTTCTTCGATCATTTTCGCGGACAGGAAAAGCCACCGCCAAACTGGATCTCGCGATAGATCCCCGTTCTTCGTGTTTTCTCGCTCGCGGAGATTAATGAAGGCGCCTCTCTAAAGTAACCGGATTATACCGACCTGCGGACGAACTGCAATTGCAACCGGCGTAACGATGGGATGCACTGTTGCTGCAGCAGCAGCGGTGAAGCTGGGATCCCGCTGCACGACCGCGTTAAAACCATTGATGGGATCGGCCGCGTAGGAAACGAGACGCCGGGCACCATCGGGCTCGATTAAGCTGTAACTTCCCTCGACTACGTCGCCGTTGCGAGTCTCCTCCTGCACCTTGTTGTCGCCTGGGAAGAATACGTATTTATAATACTCGAATAAAAGTTCCGCGTTCATTGTTTCATTTAAGTTTCGCGAACGGAGTCCCGGAAATTCTATAATTCGATAGAAAATCCTCTTTCTTCTTCCCTCTTCGACGACGAATAACCGAATTAAATGGTACATCGGCAGGAATTCACTCTACGAATTTGGTAACGTCGTTCAGACTCAACTTCCTTTTGTTTACGAAACCCGTCTTGTGAATCTAAGACATCTCTCGCTCTTGTCTCGAAATCGAAATTTAAGAACCCGGTCTTCTAATTTAATGAATTGAAAAAAATTGATTTTTTCTTTATGTTTCATTAAAGTATGATGTTTGGAGAATATGTCCTTCAAAAAATTCGTAAAATTGTCATAGTTTGTTTCATTTGTATGTAAATCTGAATCTGTCAATTTTATAGAATTTTTCATAATTGATAAAGAGAGAAAAAAGATACAATGCAATTTACAAATACAATTGCACAAAATTAAAACATATAATTTACAATCCTACATCCTTTGCATGAAATGGTATAGACGCATAGGATTTTATAAAATTGAAGTTATATATATATTAAATTTATTAATTTACTCTCTCTCTTTAAAGGATTGAAAAATATTTTTTAAATATTTTCTAAAAGTATAGATAGTAAAAAAATAATAAATTTAATAAAATTATAAGATTTTGAATAGTGCGTAAATCTTCGAATGAAATGAGTCAGCAAAACTTTTTCGCAAAACACTGCTCTCAAATTGGTGTGATGCATGTCTTGAAAACTAATGAATAACTTCAAATCTCTTAATGAAAACAAACTGTTTGGGGATACTAAATTTAATTAGAATTTTAAAAAGTTAATAAATATTTTTCTGATCAAGAAATGAATAAATTTCAACAAAATTGAAATATCTAAAACGATACTATTTTCAATTTCCTTTAATAAAATTAAATTCATGTCCCAGAAATATTCTACAAAATAAAATTAGATTGAATTGATTCATTTCAGATAAGCGAGGAGCAGCAAAAACTTGAACCATATACGATTTTAAATATGCCTGATTCATCAAGAAAATATCCAAGATATAAAAATAATAAGAGTTCTATTTAAATATCAATAAAAAATTAAAATATATGTAAAACTAAAAAAAAATTCAATTTCTAATATTTTTTAATTCATAAAAATTTTTCATACTACTAGAATAGATTAGGCTCTTAATCGAATGCTATTATTGATTGCATATATTTTTAGTTTTATCGAGAATCGTTACATCTTCAATTACTAATATTTAATAATTTTTCTGCGCAAGAATATATTTGCAATTAAATAATTTTCCTCGATCGAAGTCGATCTTAATGCTATATCTTTAGATAAACGATCCGGATTATATTGCATTTAATTTCAATTGTGCCAATTAAAATTAAATGGTCCATAAATATCTACAAATTGTATTGCAAGGATGTTACCGGTGAGACCATCTGCCACGCTATAACCGAAGCTATATCGAGGATGTGAATTGTAGTTTTCGGTTCTGATAACCGTCGCAGCTGGTTGCTGCGAGACAGCTACTGCGGCTGCACCTGGACCAGTGATCTCGGCGCGGGTGAGGGCCAGTAAGGTGGCGAAATAACCGATAATCTGTGCATCAAGAAGGAAATATCAGATATCGTCGACATGCTAAGTGATTAACTCAAATATGGTTTCAGCTAATATCGCTGATATCCCGATAGTCAGATGCATCGTAACAATTACATTGAATTACTGCAATGAAATATAATTACATTTTATATCCAATAGAACTTTATTTAAGTATATCTTTTCAAAAAGTTGCAAAATTAATTTATTAAACTTATTTATCGGTTGATTATCTCATTAAAAAAAATTGACAGAGTTATCAGTTATTATTGTAGCTTGTAAAAGAAAAGAATTAGCGAATCAACGTTGTGGAAAATGCGATTGTAAATTAATTCGAGCGAAAATAAACAAATAATAATAAAATGTAGAATATTAATTTTAATAATAAAATGTAGATTATTACTTTGTAAGACATGGTGATCACCACCGGTTTGTGCCTTCGTATTCGTCGACTGATTGTCTGCTTTACACGACTTGGAGACACTAGATTTTATACCAGTCGTGCCGGAGACCGTCCCCGTCCTTGCATCTCTATATCACCCACTCCACCCTCATTGGGGTCAGTACGTTTTTACTCTATGCGGATTATGGATAGAGTATAACATATGCCAATGTAGGGATTGCGATATCGCTGAAAATCCCAAGAACATCATGTGAACGGAAAAGTACAAATATCTGATAAAAAAAGAGGGGGCGAGAGGAAGGAGAGCCTTCCATTCAATTTAAATTCTCTCGAGAGTTAATATTTCCTCAGTAAAATTAAAAACGGACATATGTGGAACTTCGATCGGGTAGGGCCGAATTTTTGCATTATATTTGTCTTTAGTGCACCGACATTATTTTCAAGTTATAATTAATTTTATCGTTATCTAACAAAGCACGAAACATTAAAAATCCATTGTGTGCTAATAAAAATTTAACATATACAAAGCAAACCATTTAATTCTAGATTCTACAGGAAATTTAATTTTTTTCCAGTTTTATTTCAGTAGTATAATTAAAACCATTACCTATTTAAGAATAATTACAATTATATAACATTCTAAATTTTTCAAACTGTTTCTAGTGACATCCAAATCAGAAATTTAATTTTGCGAAAAAGCTTTCGCCGATTATGTCCAACTCTCAATTATTATCCGGAAATTATTAAAATCTTAATTTTTTAAATCAAATTAAACTAGTAGTACCAATAATTTGCAACATGTAATTAATTTTGTCATTATTTAACGAAATATGAGAGACAGAGGGAAACAATTTAAAAAAACCATGTATATATTGCGTGCGAATAAAAATTTAATATACACAAGCCATTTAATGCATTCTAAATTCTACGGAAAATTTAATTTCTCGAGATTCTCGAGAGTTTTATTTCAGTAGAATAATTAAAACCATTATCCATGTGTGAGAGAGAAGAATTATAATTACATAAAATTCTTTAAATTTTTTAAACTGTTTATAATAACATTCAAATCAAGAATTTAATTTCGGAATGAAACTATCTCACGATTCACGTCTAATTCATTATAATATATAATATTCATAATTATTATGTTCATAGATTGCCAAAATCTCATTATAAATTTTTTAATCAAATTAAACTAAGTCATTTCAACCGAAACATATTTATTATTAATACGACCACGAAGGGCAGCCAGTCAACCTGTAATCAAACACTCGATCAAGGTAGTCGAGCTAAACTACGCGCTAAGAGGATGATCATATTATTCAGTAGCGTTGATGTAAGTCAATAATTGATGCCATTGCGACATATTGAGTAATAAAATCTTTATGAGTCGGGGATCATCGTCAGGCCGACTTCTGATCAAATACATATATATATTTGCTTTATATAGGTCAAGAAAGTCTAGAGTAACTCGAGGATCCTCTCGAGGAATCACATGCTCACGCCAGTAACTCTACCTGCGTTAATCCACTATATGCTATATAGCCATGTACACGTGATATTGAGTGTCCGAACACTCCTGTGTGTTTGATCCATAATAGACACAAGAGATAATTGAACAATAAATATTTCATTATAAAAAATATAATATTACATAACTAATCAAGGAGTTTGCTATTTGATAAACATTTTCAATTTTATGATAAACATTTTCAATGTGTGAAATAGTTTTTTTAATTGCCGTTTTCAATTGATGAGATGCTATTATATATTAAAAACACAATAGCAAAAAAATAAGTAGCAATAGATAATCCGAGATTCGAATATTAATATAATACAAAGATATTATTGCAAAGATGTTATACAAATTATCGGCAGATATAACCCGTTTGAAATTGCTGCATATTTCGATAAGACTATCTGTTATTTGTCAGTTTTTGTAACCGTGCCTTTAACCCGTGAGGATTTAATGGCATTCTCATCGAATTTTTTTTCGAGTTTCTTGCGAGCTTCTTCCATCCGTTCCTTTCGTATTCGCTGCTGTTCCTTTTTCCAGATATCCTGTAAAACTCGATCTGTCATAATTGACTTACTCGTGTATTTCGCAAACGCTGCAAAATATACCTTGAAATCCTGACAAAAAGTAAACCATAGATTGAAGAAATCGTAAGGTTCCGCGTTCCATTGTGGCGCCTTTTGGAACGAACTGATAAAATCGCATTACGGCCTTGAATCTGTTTTTAGCCTCGAGTAACTCTTCTTTTTCGTTTGCCAGTTCGATATTCGCCCTCGCTACAAACGAATCCACTTTCTCCTTGAATGACATGGACGTAATTGGATCCTCTTCCATGACAGTGTTACACTTTTTCGCGCATACTAACAAATTAAATTAATTTCACTTATATCAGAATATTTTTACATATATATATGTAACTGTACGAAATATAGAATCGTATCAAGGCATACACTTTTTTATTGATGTAGATAACATATATATATATTTCATGTTAAAATTTTTAAGTGACGTTATTATGCCACATATTTGATATTTTAAATTAATATCACTTACTCTGTAATTCCTTTTCCAATCTGTCAAGTTCCTTGACAATATCATCAAACTTGATCGTAGATGCGACCTCGACGTCGCCAGGTTCAGGGACAGGTAGAGGTAACGGTTCGCCAAAGTTGTGCTCTTTATCCTGAGATAGTTTGGCATTGACAACATAGTGCAACAGGGTGATCTCGGGTACATTTGACTTTACGTCTTTCAGTTTGCCAAGAATCTCCAGACCGAAGCCATCAACCTGGCCGCGCATCATGTTATTGCCCACCGTTCATGTAATTGCCCAGAGTCAGTATGATGGCTATGACTTTCCTCAAAGACTCGGACTGCATCAAAAAGTCACAGGTAATTCGTACATTGTTTAATTTATACGAGACCGATGAGATTGCGTCTTGGAACTCCGATTGAGGCATCAAGCAAGTTATCCTTTCGGAAAAGTGCTTTATACCGGATAACCGTTTGAGAAATAATTCCGGTTGATCGATAGGAATATCCGAATACTCTGCTTTGTTAGCAGCGATCTTTGCTATCTCCTTCTCTGTAGGTTTCTACAAATTAGGAAACGAAGGCAGATGTTTGTAGATTTTGAATAGAAATTAAAAATGTTTTGTACCTATTTTCAAAATATTGAGAATTTAATGAAAATTGTACAGAATGTCCTCACATATGTTTAGAATTTTTAGTACAATTTTTAAATCGACTCACTAAAGCGTTTACAAGTTATAAGGATTTTAATTTGCACCGAATTAACATGTGTTCTTATGGGAAACGTATAACCACGTCGATTCAAATGACAAAAACACATGAAAATAATATTCAGAATTTGTTTAAAATTTGCAAAAGTTTAGATACAGAGAAAATATTTGATCAAATAATATTATACAAGTACTAACTGGTTAAAAAGATATTAAATATAATTCAATAAAGTTAGCCATGTATCTGTCACAATGCGAAATTCTTTGCCAAAAGTTAATCATTTCGATTAACAAAATTCGGAATATTTCAGTAAAAACGCAATAAATATTAAAAAATACATCTCTGTAGCTAAGATCAAATTGTAATATTCAACACAATTTCTTACTCAAAATATTATAACAATTTCTTACCAAAAGTGGATATATTCGTCAATATTGATTTTCAGCTACTTTTTGCTGAGATTCTACATACAAAACATCTTTAATTGTGTTAAGAAAAGAAAAAAATTAACTATATATGCTGAATAAATTTAGATTTTTAATCATACTGTTTATTCACGATTTCGTAGATCTGTTGCAGCGTTCCCAAACTGATTACACTTGTGTCTAAATTATAAGCTGCGTTCTCGATCTTGCTGAAATCAATATGCAGACTCTTCTCAAGAATTTCCACCATTTTGGAACGTTTCGAGTCCAATATCTTTGCTGGTTGGATCTTGGAGCCTTTATTGGAAACCTCTTCGCTCTTTTTGGCCGAATTCTTTTGTCTCACCTGTCGCGAAAATAAATCGGCAAACTTTCATATTTATACTTTTTTCTTTCGCAAGTTCTAACCACAAAGGCACCTAGATGAGACAATATAACAAGATGCGAGGCGTCGTGCACGATTTCAACCGTCCACGCGCAGACGAAAAACGGCCAATTTATATCTCGACTTCCGGACGCGATTTCGTTCTTTTTGCATAAAATTCTACACCATTTCGCGGCACTACCGTTTAAATCTTGTCCCGATCGCCCGAGGAGCGGCAGACTTACAGTGAATATCCGAAATCTGCTTCTTGGACTCATATTTATATATATCGAATAAAAAAGCGAGTTGGAACGCAATCAGTCGAATAGTGAATTAAATATTTATATATACCAAACGAAAAGATGAATCGGAATGCATTCGTTCGATTAATTAGTTAAATATTTATATATATAAATATATATATATATATTAATATTATATATATAATTATATATATAATTATTATAATATTATACATAATATAATATTATAATATTATATATAATTATATATAATATTATATATATAATTATATATATATAAATATTTAATTAATTAATCGAACGATTGCATTCCGATTCATCTTTTCGTTCGGTATATATTTAAATATTTAATCAATTAATCGAACGATTACATTCGGCTTGCCATTTTACTCGCCGCGTTACAGTGAATATCGCGCGAGAGAGGCAGGCAACATGCGCGGCGTCGTGCACGATTTCGACCGTCCGCGCACAGACGAAAACGGCCTATTTATATCTCGACTTCCGGACGCGATAGCGATTTAGTTTTTTTTGCATAAAATTCTACACCATTTCGCGGTACTACCTTTTAAATTTCGTCCCGATCGCCCGAGCGGCTGACTTACAGTGAATATCCGAAATCTGCTTCTTGGACTCACACTTAAGTGTATTAGAAGCGCGCGGCGACGAGAGTCGTCCCACTGTAATCCGATACTACGAGCGCGACGAATCGGTGGACGGGCCGCTCTCCGAGACATGATGATGGTTTGCGATATATCGAAATACGGCGCCGAAAAATGACCCGTTCTTTTAGTGGCGAGAAAATTATGCGCTATCATTTCCACACCACCTTGCGGTAGATAGCATGGTGCGCTTTTTTTATAGTGGTTTCCCCCATAGGCCTATTCCACTCTCAATTTGAAAATTATTCAAAATGCCATTACTATACGCTGAATATATCGTAAATGTAAAAAATTAATGGTGACAGTACCTTTACAAAAATTGATCGTGGTTGAAAATTCCTCGATAAAATGTATTGCACACGTTGATAATGATACGATGATAAAATGCTTCAAGAATCCTTTCTTCATCTCGTACACAAAGGCGCACTGCTGGATATCCCGATATTATACACGACACCCAGTTTCACATAATTATTACATGTAAAATTGTACGGCCACTTGGTTTTCGTGCACGCCCGAGAAATGATTCCATGTAAATTGCGGCCGCACGATAAGTATTTTCTCCCGCTGGTCCGTATGCCACAATTATATATTCCTGCAGAGTACACTTCATTTTCACTGTTATTTACTAGCAGAGAGAAACCTGAGAGCGGCCACCTCGCTTTAACGGGCATATTGTCCTAATGCGCTCCCTGACAAAGTGGACGTCAACTGCATCCATTACAGTCGATAATAATACATGGTTCGTGTCTGAGCTATGGTTCATGTCCAAGCTATGGAGTGACCCCAAAAGTGATACTCCCTCTATGGACATTCAAAACATGGACATAAACTACAAGTCAAATTCCATGAATGTTCTCAGAGGGTAATTGCACAATTTCTGGTTTTGTTCCGTGCTATGTGCACGAAATGCCAGTAGCACCAGTGCTATATAACAATTAAATACTTATGTGTGTAAATTGATAATAAATAAATTATTCAATCGCGACAGATACTGTAATATTCAAAGATGAAATAAATATTTTTCAAAATAAATTGGTAAATAATACGGCTCTATGTATTTATCAACATGATAATTAAGTAAAGAGCATTAAGAGCCCACAAAACGCGGATGGCAATGCGTAAATTATTTCGAACATTAATTGTTCGCGAAATTTTTTTTTTTTTTTTTTTTAAATGCGTTATTAGGAGAACATGATTTGTAAAGAGGTCATCAACGCATCTTCGACCTCCTCGCAAAATATATTCTCCTGATAGTATAAAATAATAAGAAACGAATTTGCGAAAAATTTTCACGCTTGCGTTATTAGGAGAACATGATTTGTAAAGAGGTCATCAACGCATCATCGACCTCCTCGCAAAATGTATTCTCTTGATAATATAAATTATAAGAAACGAATTTTCGAAAATTTTCACGCTTGCGTTATTAGGAGAACATGATTTGTAAAGAGGTCATCAACGCATCATCGACCTCCGCGCAAAATATATTCTCCTGATAATATAAAATAATAAGAAACGAATTTTCGAAAATTTTCACATTTGCGTTATTAGGAGAACATGATTTCTAAAGAAGTCATCAACGCATCATCGACCTCCTCGCACAATATATTCTCCTGATCATATAAATTATAAGAAACGAATTTTCGAAAATTTTCACGTTTGCGTTATTAGGAGAACATGATTTGTAAAGAAGTCATCAACGCATCATCGACCTCCTCGCACAATATATTCTCCTGATAATATAAATTATAAGAAACGAATTTTCGAAAATTTTCACGCTTGCGTTATTAGGAGAACATGATTTGTAAAGAGGTCATCAACGCATCATCGACCTCCTCGCAAAATATATTCTCCTGATAATATAAAATAATAAGAAACGAATTTTCGAAAATTTTCACGTTTGCGTTATTAGGAGAACATGATTTCTAAAGAAGTCATCAACGCATCATCGACCTCCTCGCACAATATATTCTCCTGATCATATAAATTATAAGAAACGAATTTTCGAAAATTTTCACGTTTGCGTTATTAGGAGAACATGATTTCTAAAGAAGTCATCAACGCATCATCGACCTCCTCGCACAATATATTCTCCTGATCATATAAATTATAAGAAACGAATTTTCGAAAATTTTCACGTTTGCGTTATTAGGAGAACATGATTTGTAAAGAAGTCATCAACGCATCATCGACCTCCTCGCACAATATATTCTCCTGATAATATAAATTATAAGAAACGAATTTTCGAAAATTTTCACGCTTGCGTTATTAGGAGAACATGATTTGTAAAGAGGTCATCAACGCATCATCGACCTCCTCGCAAAATATATTCTCCTGATAATATAAAATAATAAGAAACGAATTTTCGAAAATTTTCACGTTTGCGTTATTAGGAGAACATGATTTCTAAAGAAGTCATCAACGCATCATCGACCTCCTCGCACAATATATTCTCCTGATCATATAAATTATAAGAAACGAATTTTCGAAAATTTTCACGTTTGCGTTATTAGGAGAACATGATTTGTAAAGAAGTCATCAACGCATCATCGACCTCCTCGCACAATATATTCTCCTGATAATATAAATTATAAGAAACGAATTTTCGAAAATTTTCACGCTTGCGTTATTAGGAGAACATGATTTGTAAAGAGGTCATCAACGCATCATCGACCTCCTCGCAAAATATATTCTCCTGATAATATAAATTATAAGAAACGAATTTTCGAAAATTTTCACGCTTGCGTTATTAGGAGAACATGATTTGTAAAGAGGTCATCAACGCATCATCGACCTCCTCGCAAAATATATTCTCCTGATAATATAAAATAATAAGAAACGAATTTTCGAAAATTTTCACGCTTGCGTTATTAAGAGAACATGATTTGTAAAGAGGTCATCAACGCATCATCGACCTCCTCGCAAAATATATTCTCCTGATAATATAAAATAATAAGAAACGAATTTTCGAAAATTTTCACGCTTGCGTTATTAGGAGAACATGATTTGAAAAGAGGTTATCAACGCATCTTCGACCTCCTCGCAAAATATATTCCCCTGATAATATAAAATAATAAGAAACGAATTTTCGAAAATTTTCACGCTTGCGTTATTAGGAG